CTGAAATAGAATCAACCTATCTACGTGAGCCGTCTTGCGTAGTGATGGTCGATACTTGTATGACGTTATTAGATCTCGTGCTAAAATCATGGACGTAAGCCCAGCGTTAGCTGTTTTGCCGCCCTATCAATATTTCAAACCGCTTCCACTTTCATCCTCCAATTTTACATCGAGTTGTGCAATAAAACTGGAGGACTTTACAAACCAAATTAAAATTTATTTACTAAGTTTTCGTGCTTCCATTCAAGCGAAATCGCACAATTCTTTTTCAAGTCCGAGTTTGTTTTTTTTTTTGGACAGTTTCGTGCCAACCGAAATTCCAATCTACCAGTCTTGCGTGTGTGTATAATGGTTGATTTCACTTAGCTTTTAGTCAGTATAAGTTTAGAAAAGCTTCTTTCTCCACCAGCAACGATTATGGACTAAGTGAAGAGCAAATTGTATAGTGTATTAATTTCACGTGATGGCAAAGGAAAAGCAGCTTCTACTATCCCACTAAATAATCATGCCGAGCGAAGAAGTTTGACATGTTAACGTAGTAGTACATAAACAAGCCAAGTTCATATTAAACTTTCTCATATATTGAAAAATAAAAATATTTTATAAGATAACACGTATGTCGTTACTGCATTAGCTACTGTAAATGGTTGAGTTTGAACAAAACTCACACCACAACAAACGACTACAAGTTTAAAATTATAAATAAAATTTTCAGCATTTTGACTTGTTTCCCACAATAACCAAAATGTGTAGTAATAAAATATCCAGCTACAGTGTGGAAAATAAAAGATATTGCTGCTGTTTAAGTTTCCTGCTCTTTCTTGGGTTACACCATTTAACTTCTGGTTTATACTAGGGTTAGAATAAGCACTTAAGCTTGAATTAGAAAAGTATTTCATAATTAAAATGTTTTATGATATATTATCTTTTTGATGTAGAACAGTTTGCCACAGAAGCAAAATTCAAAATTATTATTAAATTTAATGCATTAAATGTACCAAGTTTATACAGTAGAAATCTTAACCACATCCCTACTGTGAAATGGGCTGCTTTGAACAAGAAGTGATGGAACTACTTTGCCATTTTTGACAAGTTTCTCCACTTGACTTCTACACCTCCTCACTTCCTATCCACTTCCCCTGTCTTACAACAGTTTTCTTGGTGAGTGAATGTTACTGAAAATCTTTGCAGAAATTTTGCTAATTTTTTGCCAATTTCTGTGTCTTTTCCATGTTTTCAAGAGGAAAAGAACAGAGAAGTGAGTCTCCTTAAAATAACTTGCAAAACTTTTTAGGTAATAAATTTAAAATGTATTATAGGAGCTTCAAAAAGAAAGCCCATTATGGATTAGGAGTTTACTTTTACTTGTAGATTTTCACCAGATCTGTTGGGTTTTCACCCAGGGCAGAACTGGGTATGCAATTTGGCTCTCAAAAAATTAGTCAAACTGCACATCTGCTTAATTCAAAAACCTCCATTCTTCAGTACTTGATGGTTGTGTATCTAAAAGTCATTAACCTTCCAAAACATTTCCTTTCTCATTCTGGAAATGCTGATAAAGAAATGGGTAGTTTCAAACTGGAAAAGCCTTAGGAGGAAAGGTTATTAAAGCTGAGAAGAATATGCACTAATGGAAAAAATATGTTTATGACCAAAAAATTAGTACTGTAAATGGTTTTGGATATTCAAGGGTGCGATCATGGACTCATGCAAATAAGAAGTTTTGACAAAACCAGATACATAATAAAGAAGATGGCTTCACTTAATAGAATGAAGGATCATGATCCATGAACCAGGACAGGGGTTGCTTAAAAAAATCTACATCTCCATCTTAAAACCTATTTGTCCCATAAAATACATAAACAAAACAAATATAACCGTTATTTGATAATGAAAAGTTGTTGAAATTGTGCTCACCTAGTCTGAAAGCAAACATTGAAAAACATAAAGCAGTCCAAGTATTCTTGCCAAAAGCTGAGCCTATCTAATTTTTGTGTATGGTACATGGCAAACAATAAATTAATTAAATTAATATAGATTCAAACTACATCAGACTTCACCCACCATAAGAGTTACAAAAAATGATGGGTCTTGTGTGTACCCTTGCATGTTTAGTGCCACCAAAAGTAAATCAGTATTCAACTGCTTCGGTTGGGTCATTCTCCTCAAACTCAGACCCCTCAATCTTAAGAAGCATCAGATCTTGCAAAATGTCCTTATTAAGCTGAGTTTCTATTGATGACATTTGTAGATGAAAACATGTTCTACCTCTGCTATTGATACACTAAATGAAACATCATCTCTATGAGCTTCAAGATATTGTTGAGAGCCAAAAGTTTTGTTGATAATATGGTTGAGTATTTAGACAGAACTGGTGTATTTTTGTGCTTGAAACTTTTCATGTGTATTTTTAGTCCAATAAACTCCTCCACAATTCCTTACTTCTTTTCCTCAGTGAAAAGGATATCAAAATGAACTAGATAGAATGTGTTCAATTTGGGATTTGCCATGTGAACTAAGCTCTTCTCTACTTTTTGGCCAAAACATGTAGTTACAATATTGAAAGCTGGTATGCAGTTGAAGTTGCAAAACCTTTCATTAATCTACTTGACCATTCTATCAATTAGTTTAACATTTATTGTTAAACTTGCTGCTGAGGGGTAGTGATCAGACAACTTGATTTCAGCAGAATCATTCATAAAGTTTATTTTTTGTGGGTGCTACATCTTAAAAAACACTGTTCCACTGCAGGCTGGTCATGCTTCAACAGTAGGATGTTAGATGAAAGAATTATGAAGAATGTAATACTAGTTCTAGAATATATCATTGTAGAGCAATGTTCCCTCTAATTTTTTCAGTCCATGTGTGAAATGAATTTTTTCATGTGCACCAGTATCATGGCATTGTGTAGATGTGTGTTATCATTTGGTTATTTGGGCTTTAGGCCTATCGACTACCAGGATCATTAAGGTCATCAATGTGTTGAGACGCCTCACTATTACTGAGGATGTGTGCGGCTGAAATAATGAAGTGCGCGACACTTTATTTGTTGTTGTGTGGCTGCGCAGCTTAGAGGGAACACTGCTGTAGAGTATTTTGATGAAATTGACATTAGTGACTTCACTGAGGGTCTTCTTTGCCTTAGATGCTAACTTTATCTAAATGCAAAACCACAACCAGTAGGTTTTGCTGCACTGCATTTAAAACTCTTGATTTTCTTTAGACCCATCACACCTGTTTAACACCACTGAAGTGGTAAGCATTTTCTTCTGTAACCCTTGCAACTTTTTTTGCATCTTCTCCTTTTTGAGCTATACCAGTAAAGTTTGAAAATCCGTTTCAAAGTTTCTTCAAACTGAGAAATATAAGATAAGGACTTCACTATATCTAGGATTTTTAACTCTGTAAGTCGTGAGCTACACAATATTAAGAGAGTAGAAATGGAATATCTTTTTTATTAATGCTTGGCACCACCCTTCTAACACTTCGTAACAGCTGAACCATCGAAATTAACTGATATTAATGTTTGACATGATTTCTTGGAATACTTGAAATCTGTCAAATCCAAAAAATTACTTCTTGTTTGTGTTAACAATACCATATAGGATGCTTAATGCATATGAATGTTCCAGTGGAACAAGATCTGCTATCATTATTTAGAGCTTTTCTTTATTGTCAACCCTTACTAGCACAGTTTACTGTTCAACGATGGCATTATCTATTGGCCAAAATACAGATGAACCTTGATCCACTAACCATATTCTTGATGTCACATCTAAAGACTTCTGCTCAACACCTAAAAAATTCAGAGGCTTTCCTTCTGTTGGTGTAATTGTCTTCTATATCCACAACCAGCCTTCTCCATTGCTCTGCACAGGAATTCCATGTCTGATAGAGGTTTGTCATGTTTAGTAATTAAATATGAATTGTTGAACAACAAAGTTAATCTCTTCTTTTCCACCTCCTTCAGTATGTGCTTTGCCTGCACACTAATGGTTGCCCTTCAGACTGACTTGTAGAATTTGGAGAACTCAATCTCCATAGCAGCACTGTCTGATTTTGTATTCTACTGATTGTACCATGATGCACATGCCATGTGAGTTTTGCTGGTTTTTGTGTGATTTGATTGATTCAGTATGGAACTGATCACATTTAGAAAGTACTCCTGCCAGATCCAGTGTGAGAGGTTGCTACTTCAGGATAATTCAGGCAAATCTCAAAATAGATTTTAGGGACTTGTTCTCCCTGGGACTGGGTTTCCTTCAGAATTAACCGTGGCCAGGTGTCCTTCCTTTTTCTTATATTTTCATCATATTTTTATTTTTTGTAGCTAAGTGTTGACTGCAGCATCATCACTGATAACTGGCTTACATGCTATTTTTCTTTTTTACCCACTTTATCATTACTTCTTTGTTGAAGCCAAAGTTTAAAAGACCGAGACATGATTTACCCTCTCCACTTAAGATTGAGCTCTAATATTTTGGCCTCTAATTCTATACTGCACTTCCTAGCTTCTTTTAGAATACACAATTTGTGTGTCCTGATTGGTTTAAAACAGTCACATGGTGGTGAAAGAAACTTTGAATGAATTTTATGCATACCTCTAACCAATAAACATTTGACACAAAGGAACAATAAGGAACTCTTGAGCTTCCCTCAAGTTGTTCTGTAACAGTATATTTTGTATTTGATGTATTAATGCTTGTGCAGTTCATATTGCAGGGCAGCAATGTGTTTTTTTAGTTATGTAATAGGATGACACAGTAATATCGAAGTTTTATTAAAAAGAAATTTAAAAAAATAAAATTCAAATAAAAAACTACTTGTCCACCGGATAAAGTGAAATGGAAGACTTGTTGTTTTGGGTGTCAGGTTAAAGGAATTGGAAACCCCTGTAGGAATACTAACCAAGTATATTTTATAACCCCAAATTTTTAGAATTTGTATATGATAATGAGTGTTTCAAATTAACATATTTTTCCCTTTTGTTTTTTTTTCAGAAATCGGTTATTCAAAATCCTACCTTCAGATACATACTGGAACAAACACGGAAGCATCAGGTTACAGAAAAACGAGTATGTAGAGGTCAGGCAGAACTCCAGTACCTAGCTCACACCTACCTTTGTTACTTAAGTAGTATAAGAAGACAAAAGGTATGTTTTATGTTCTGTACAATGTGGTGTTTTATTTAACCTGGGAATAGTACTCAGTGAAAGGATATTTAGGAAAACATAGAGATTTCTCTTTTCATTAGATTAAGTTATTTTTTAAATGTAGGTGTTATAATGACTGAAATAGTCATGAGCTTCACCCTTTCATAACTAATGTATATTATATCTTTGGTCAGGTACGTTCCCATACCTTTTCTACATTTTTTGTGCAGGTGTTCTATATGGAGTGTGGTATTTTCAGGTTAAACTGATTTCCACAGAATATTAAGTTGATTCACTTTATAACAGGAGGATCGGCAGGATATGTTATGAAGTAATGTTTATTTCAGCTAAAACTGAGTTTGAGCAAAAAAAAAAACCTACTGGACTCAATGTGTAGCACACAATGAAAACATTTTGTTAATTAGAAGACAAAACATAGTGTGTGTACTTGCTTCTGGATGCTGGATGGTTGCCTTTGTGAATTAATTAGACTGCCTTTCTTTCTTCAAGATGTATTCCTCTTACATCTGGAACATAAATATATAAATCTAACATTTTTTACTTAATGTAAAATGTCTGATTTCCCCGTAATGTCTAGCAGTGTCCACATGACTGGCCATTTTCATTCAAACATAGGTGAGGCAGTAATCTATCATTGGAGCTACTGCTACCAACCTTCATGCACAAATGATGTGCAGCATTACATCCATTCCACCCATGGGTATAACAGGTAGAATCTGATTAGAATAACAAGGAACAAAGGCAGCTAGAACAAAAATCAACTGAAATATTTTCTTGACCTGGTGTTATGCAAAAACTGCATAAATTCAGAAATAACTGATAAACTTAGGATGCATACTGCACAGACCTAAAAGATGTTAACATTTTGAAAAATTCTACATTAACATGAGAAGATAGGAAACATGGTATTCCTGCATACCACAGAGGCTTGGCATTTTTTGTTAACAGAATGTCAAAATGTCATAAATATGTACTATTCCTTTTAGTTGGTTAAAGTTGCATATTGCAGTGGTTAGAAACTCGTATCACTTTAGCACAGTGTCTGACTCTTCTATGGAGATTCTTGTGTTTTGTCTGAATTTTAGTGATAAATCAATCCTTTTTGTCTTCTTTCTATGCAGACATTTTCAAAGACTCCTCTCAATCCCAGTAGCCAGTATAAGCCAATCTGTGAACAACAGGGTCAGCTAGTCTGATAAATAGACATAATACACAATAACTGTGAATAGAGAATTTGCTTGTTTGTTCACTTGTGTTTCTTTCCTTTGCTGTGTGAGTTTGATTTATTCTCTGTATAAAATTTCCAGAATCTGAGTTTTGTGTATATATTTCAATTGTGATTTTGATTGAATTTTGTCTCTGATTCAAATCTCGGACATGTGCCCCCAATTTATTATGTTACATATTAGAATTTTAAATAGCCTAAAATTGCTTCAACTGATAAATTTAAATTTAGTAAAAGTAAAAGCCGATATATAGTCAGCTT